AACGCTATCGGAGCGAATATAGTATCTCATATAAAAATGTTCATTTTGTACCTTTTATATTGTTTTAAAAGGAAACACTGAAATAATTGTCCGCGTAATTGTTTCTTTTACTGTTATTGAATTCCAAGAGTATTAACAACGGAAAGGAAGGGCTGGTACATTGTCTTCTTCTGCTGGCTTCTTCCTGTGTGTACGTTCACAGATGATGAATATTGACTGAAATTCTTACTAATTAAAACAGGTTGCATTTGTCTGATGTCCCAACAGCCCAGGCTATCCATGCTGAGGGTCTTGGTTTCATCTCGTGAGCCGTGGGTCTTTGTACGTGGGGGCTTTGCTCTGCCAGGAGCCCAGCCCTGAATTATTCTGCACTTGGGTGAGGAGCTTTTCAGGTGTGTGAGGTTGGGATTTGGGGGCCAAATGTGGTGCGCCCACATTTAGTAGCTATGTCACTCCTAAAGAAAGGGAATGCAACATCCAAAATAAGGTCGTGTTCCCATGGAGATTTCTGGATTTTTAATAGTGCCAGCGTAGAAAGATTTGAGAAGGGAATGGCAGCCTTTTCTCCCTATAGGTTTTCTGTAATCGGTGGAGATAGAGAGGAGTGAAGGCTGCCTCTGGCAGAGGGGACGGGGCAGTAGGGGAATGATGGACGCACGAACCCTTAACGCAATGGGCACGCAAATGTCGAGAGGAGCCCGGCTGATCTCCGAATTCTGTTATGCTTCTGGCAAAGAAGCTGGAATAATCTTTTTGATCGATATCATCCCAGAAATTATTGTTTATTTTATCTAAAATAACCTGCTCTAATCTCAGTCCAGATCGCTGGGCTGATTTAGAGGTCCCCAAGCAGTGAAAACGTAAGCTCCTTTAACCAACTGAGAACATGAATTGCTCTCATTCGAAGCCAGATCTGTCACTGGTTTCCAGCCTCTTGTGTGGGCACAGGCAGTCAGTCTGCGTGTCCTCTGCCAAGAAACAGTCAGTCTAGTACCTTCTGCTTTATATTTGCAGAAATTATTTTTTTTTGTCCACTCTTCAACCTACTTCTGAACTTCTGAGGTGCCGCATCTAACAATGCAAACCGATGGCGTGCCTTATCTGAAGACGTGCCCTGCTCAAGGAGAGCAGCCCAATTATAGGTGGCATTTTAAAAGCGGCGTATTTAGCCGGTATCATTCAACAAGTGATGGGGAACAATGAATAAGAAGACAATCTTTATGCAAGTCGATTCATAAAGCGTTACATTTCTGTTGAGAGAGTGGAGTCATAACAGGATTAGTGGGAAGGCTCCTGCTGAACTGTGAGATCTGAATTCCCCAGCTCTGTTGTTATTTTTATTCACAAGTTATAAGGGCAGCTGGTTTATATTCCACTGTGCAATTACTGCACAGACCTAGGAACAGCTTAACTTTCATCTTCACGATTTTGGAAAGGAAACAGTAATACAAAGAGCAGAAAACCCATAGCGGCATGAGTTTTCGAGCATCAAACCTCTGTTGGTCTTGGATCCCGATGAAGTGCTTCTTATCGCTGCAGGGAAGATTTACTCTTGACTCAGATATCTAAATTTAGGCTGTCTGCACTTTGGATGTTTACATGGGAGGTTTGTGTCTGCTCACCCTACTGCAGACACCTATGTTTGGCCACCTTGCACCCACATATCTCCACTGGCCACGGGGGGATCTTAAATTTCCACCCCACAGCCTTTGATGGGTTTGACACCCTCAGAACAGGTGAACGTGAAAGTGGCTGCGAGGTGGCTTTGTAGTGCCACAGTGCTAAGATGAACTCAAGCAAGTTGTCTCCGGTTGAAAATAAGCTAGCAAAAGAAAATACAAATCCTTATTTCTATATGTTCCTAATAACTTCCCAGCTGTGTCTGGGAAATGAAACAATTCTGAAATTCCACGATCTAATTTAGTGTGATTTTTTCCTTTTTTTCCTTTTTTTTTTTTTTTAACATCTGTTTACTTTTTGCACTTCACTCGTGACCAAATCCTGTGCCGTGCCTTTCAACCCAGTGTCCAATGTGAGGAAGTGCAAGGAGAAACTTCCTCCGGCTACGAGAAGCCATAAAATACATCAAAGACATCCCGGCAAAAAGCACCAAGGAGACACAATGCCTCACCCCGTGGCAAAGGGAAAAGATGGGATAGCACGATATAGCGATAAGCCAGCAGATCAGGAAGAAATATTCCTGACAAATGGCACAAAATCAAGCCCAAGTGTCTTAGTGCTGTGTTTGCTGAATTTGCTTATCTGGAATAAGTCTAAGGGTTGTTTCCTGTGCTTTGGTAACACTTCTGTAATTCGGGAACCAACGGGATCTCACTGGCTCAAAAAGAAGGGAAAAAGGATGGACAATGTCTAGGCTCCCACCTGTCTTGAGCAGACTCTCAGCTTGGAGGCTGGAAATAACACTTTCATACGCTTAAAGTTCGCATCTTGTAATGCAATTAGCAGCTGGTGAGAAAGAGATGAAACACCCCATGTCTTGTCATTTCTGCACGAACCAGTAGCAAGCCCTCCGTGGGCTAAAATAGCATCGTAGGGCAGTGGTTAAATCCAACGTAAATATTATTTTAAGCAGTGGTTCCTAAAAGGCAAGAGGACATTTTTAGTAAAAATGAGATCAAATTCCAAAGCTTTTTTCCATCTTTAACTGGGCAGATTTTCTAATGAGTCAAGGTTTAGCCGGAAGAAGACTCAAAAGAGAGAGTGAAGCAGGGCTTGGCTTTTGTAGAATGTTTTCAATGCAATAAAAAGCTAAATTTTCATCCTCAAATACTTGAAATCATCCCTTTATCATGTTGATTGCAAAAACATTGCAGTTTTAGGATTTTTGCTAAAGATTCTCCCATTCTTTTTTAAAAATAAACTAAACAGATTTGTGTATCCATGGTAAGAGTCCTGCATTGATAACTAATGTGATATTAATAATAGGAACTCTGGAATCTTAAATCTCTGGCATCTCCTTTTTTACAGAAACCTACCCACAATTTCTGCAAAAAATGGGATTGTGATATGCTGTTTTTACTGACACAATGAGCATCACACAATAGGCTGAATTTTCTCGTGCTCAGAACTGGTGAATTTGGGAGGAAGACTAAAGACAGAAGAAGTTGCATTGAAAGCTTGTGGTTGGCATGAGAACCAATGGGATCAAGATGTGGGGTTATTTTTGGTGTAAGCTGTCCTTCCTGAAAAATAAAATGTCCTTCACTTTTCTCCCCCAATCCCATTCAGAACAACGTGGCTTGGCCAGTTTCCCCACACATCCCAATCTTTTGGGACCCAACCCAGGAGCTGGAGTCTGGGGGCAAAACATGTTATAGACAGGGTGTGTTGTGTTGGACACCGGGGCCTGCAGCATAAACCTATTACGAGTTCAAAAGCGTATGAATCCATATAATTTACCCTAAGTTGTCATCTTTGTTAGGAACCTGCCCCATTAATCCCACTGGGACTGGGGAACTGGAGGAAGCTTGCTGGGTGATAGCTCTGTGGGGTCTCTCAGGGCACTGCCACGAGGTCCGGGCAACAAAGCTGGAAAAAGAGAACTCAAAACTTAGCTGCTGCAGCGTCTCATCTCCAGCACAACCTTCTTTTGCTGCTTAATATGCATTCAATATAATTAAATATCTTCAAATTGGTTTAGAAGGAGTAATGGAAACGCATGAAGTTATCCCTAAAATATAATAATCTCCTGTTCCCCAGCAGGAACTCTAGAGCCTTTTTCAGATACATTGATTGTGTTGTCTGTAAAATGAGAGAGAGCTTAAAAAGTTGAAAAGAAATAGGGGATTAGGTTAAAAAAAGAAAAAGCACTAGAGGGAGGAAACTCAAAGCAAAACTGCGCCTGGCTAGTGTAAATGAATATGCTCTTGCATATTAAATGTTCTCTTTGTTATTGTTAGCGTCGAGTCACAAGTGAAAGATTTTAAATAAAAGCAACGATGCCCTCCTGGATTGTTTCAAGAACCGTTGAACCTCATGGCAAATATTTAATAGCTCATCCTCGCCCGTGACTTTAACAGCGAGCCTTCGGGTTCGGCGGGGAATCGCGGAGCACGGCTGCTGCACACATTGCCCCCCATCCTCGGAGCCCGGTGGCCAGCGGGCTCTGTAGACCCCTCCGTGGCCCTTTCCACACGCCCTTGAGATTGGCCTTGCCCGAGGGGTGAGAGCACAGCTTATTTATTTTTTTTTTTTTGGATTAACAAATTCTCCAGCCCAATTATCCCACCAGCTCTACCCGTCCGAGCTGTGCCAGGCCCGTTGGTGAGTGAGCTCAGCTCCACGAAGCAGCAGGGCGATGGCACTTCGCACCACCACCGGGTCCAGCAATTTTGATTTACAGCAGGACAGCCGAGCAGGCTCGAGCCACGCTTTTCTCTCCCGGCTTATTATTGTCAGATGAGTTTTAAGTAGGAACAAGAAGCAATCTTGCTTTTTATTTCATCACCGGGAAGCACCAGAAATGCGAAGGGTCAGTGAAGGAAGGGAAGGCTAAGGAGAAAAGCAGAACGGCTGAAGGAAAGATGTGTTTCTTGCTTGAATAACTCCCTAACAATCTGCTGAAGGAGTGATTTTGTATCAGGCTGAAACCCCAAACCAGCATCATTTTAATTTGCCAAGCACCTGTGAAAGAATGCAGCTGCAAGACCATGGGAAAACAATGGGAACTGTGACAGTTCATTAATATAAACCAGCAACGAGATTTATTTGGTAAAGTCATTGATACAGAATTACACTGGAGGACACAGTGGCATTCCTGAAGTATGCCAGCCAGCAGCTAACCGAGATTCTAGATTTGTGTACATCATTTGAACTTCAATGGTTATTTGGTAACTCTGACAATTTATTGCCTGTGTCAAACAGCAAAACAAATGTATAAAGAGGAGTGATTGCTTCAGCATTTCCTTCTTTTTTTTTTTTTTTCTCTTTGTTGTTCATTTTTGTCTTTTTTTTTTTTTTTTTTTTCCCCTGTAGTTTGCTTTAGTCGCTGTTTCCGGTGAAGCAAGAGTTTGGAGAGTGCAAGCGGTGTCAGAACCGTGCTGTGCACAGCTGGGAACGAAGGCACCTCTCCATGCAAAGCCAGCTCGCGGATCCAAACCGATGCAAAGGGAAAAGCTCCGTGCAGGGGGAACATCGGGGCTGTCCTCGGGCAGGCACAGCAGCAGCATCAAGCATGGACCCGGACCTCTGGGTGCAGGTGGGTGCAGGGGGGCCACGGGGTGGGAGCAGCAGGGGGACAGAAGCCTCTGGGTGCCCACCCCACAAGCATGGTCCATGGGATGGATACTGGTCCCCTGGGAAAACGTGGCTCAGGTCTGATTGCCCAGGTGGTGGTTAGCTGCTTCTGGTGTTTCGTCCTTAAAAAGTTTGCTGCTTTTCACGAGTTTAAGGCATGCTTCTGGCCTGTCGCGTGATTAAGAGGTTCTGTCACTGCAAACAGCAGTTACAAATTACAGGGTGGGCAGCGATGTTCTAGGTAAACCCAAACCAATTTGCTTTGCATACATGAGTGGCTGCTGAAGAGCTACGAGACTGGAGGCATTAATCTGGTAAAGATGCTCATGGGGTTGGGGGTGCAGTGTTAGAGAGATGCTTTGCTGCCCATCTCTCTGGAAGCAGAAAAATGAAACAAATAAACAAAAAAAAAAAAAAAAAAAAAAAGAGAAAAATGCCATTCAGCTTGTAGATATTAATAGTTTGGGAAAAAAACTCACTGAATCAAGCCAAATGAGCGACTGGACATGTCCAGCCTAACCCGCTCCAATTTCTCTCTTTTTTTTCTTGCTTTCCTCCTCTTCCCTGTTCCCCTCTCTCTCCCTCTCTTCTTTTCAGAACTGAATTTTCTGATTTCCAGATGCAACTGCAATATAAAGCAGAAATAAAACAAGGCAGTTAAATTGTTGAAGCCCATAATCTCTTCACATAACTCCCAAGAAAAAAGGTACAGCATCCAACTCTATTTACCAGTTATGGGTCCCTCTTGCTGTACTATCTGTAAATACAAGAGTAGCTCAACTTATGAAAATTTTAAGAATAGGAGAAGCAAAGGAAGCTCGGCAGTGTCTCTAGAAGCACTGGAAAAGAGTGTGGTATTGATCAAAGCCAGCTTATTTCTTAAAGCTGTACGTTTTAATAAAACTTTAATTCACAGATGATGTTGCAACCAGAAAAAGATGGAAATATGAAACAATTCTGTTATCTAAATGATTATTTAATTTAATTGATGGCAGTCATATGAGTTGTGGGTATGTATGTGGAGTGGTACAATGTGGCAGTGATGTTAGATGTGGAGAAAGAGATGAAGTATTTGAACAAGACCTATCATATACAGGTTGTACATGGTCTCTTTTAGACCATGTCTCTTTTTATCTAACACCTTTGCTTTAAGACTTTCCCCTGTTTCCTTTCTATCCAGAATCTCCCTGGATTTGCAGCAGTTCTTGGGCTGAGGTGTAGACAGCTCGCCCTTTGCCATATATCTCACTTGGATATCTGCTTTACTTCTGTTCCTCTAAACCTCCAGTTTTGTCTTCCTCCTCTCATGGAACGGCTTTGCAACGCTTATCCCTAAGTAATAGTCAGTAAAGGAAAATTATCTTAAATCAAGCAAGGTTTATTTAATTTAGAAAATAGGAAATAGAGAGAAAATCAAACTAAATGAAATGAAAATGGAATAATTCATATCTAATCTAAGGTCTTGCTCAACAGAACGATTCTTTTAGTTGTGTTCTTAGAGTTGAGCAGCAATATTTTTTACATGTTAGGGTCATTTGTCCCAAGCAGACAACCTCTTCAGGCCCTGTGCTTGCAAAGTCTTCAGGAAATGGAAGTACTCACCCCCATTTCTGCAGGGTGTTTGCTTCTGTTTACCACCTCCAGCTGAGCCACGCTTTCTTCAGCTACCCACACCTACCTTGCATCTCTTACTGGTGCATGCTCTCTTATCTGTATATATAAATATTTATTTGGATAAGCGTGTGGATGTCAGATAGTGCTGGGTTAGACCTTTTTCCCACATCATATAGACATCTACTTCTCAACCAACTCACCCTTTAATTATCTGAGGCTGCCTTTTTATTAATATGCAATGCACCACTGTACCCCATATTAATGAAGCTTATTATCAGATCCTGATAGAAAGCTTTCCAACTTCCTTCCAATTAACATGTGGTGCTTCAGAGGAATCCTCTGAATATGGGTAGGTGTTTGGCAATTGCACATAACCTTTTTTTTTTTTTTTTTTTTTTTTTTCCAGGCAACTTCACTTAAGATGTCCTTGTTAGATTAAAGACTCCTCAAATGCTGATTACCCCCTCCGGTTGGTTTCTTCATTGTTTTCCAGGCGGAGTACTTGCTTTCATATATTTTCTTTAGGTTGCAGCTTGAAAGTATCATCTTGGTTTAACGCTTTCAATTTATGTTAGACAAGCCGGTTTTAGACTGGCACATGTAAACCAGTGATTCTTAATTAAGTGCATAATGAGGCTGGAGGCAAGAACTGTGGGTAGGCATCCAGCAGGTGACAATCGTGGCATGGTGGAGGCTGTCCTGGGCCTCTTGGGGAAGGAGAACTGGGCAACAGACAGGGCACTGTGCTTGCACAGAGAGCAAAGCAGAACAGATAATTATTTCTTCCTCTTAGATGCCATGCCCTTCGTCTGAAGTGGTAGAACGGATCCAATTTTTAATGGTCAGACTTTATTAGCAACCCAGGTAGGACTGGTGGGAGCTGCAATCATCTCTGAACGAGCTGTAATAAACCCGGAGGTGTGGGGTACCTCTCACCTTGGCCTCACAATGCATGTCAGGAGTCTCATCTTCCAACAGAGGGGAACAAACCTGTTCCAAAACTGAAGGTAAAACCTTTGAGAAAACTTTAGTGATTCCCTCCCTTCTCTAAATGGCCACATCCAAGCCCTGCACTAAGTGTGACAGTGCTGGGGTATATAGACTGGAAGCACACACATAAAAAAAAGTGTTAGAAAAGCTGGTTTCCAGCTAGAAAAAAAAAACCTGTCATCCTCGGCGATGGGTCCTGGCACGTTTTGGTTACACAAAGGAGAACATTTACATCAGTGCAGCTGCAGCGTTTCACCTGCTGCTGAGCTGCTTTCTGCATGCCCTTCAGCAAGCAGTGCCTGATAGCTGGAGCAGTAAATGGAGGAGAGGCGGCACTGCAGCAGGGCTGGGGTAGTACCAGTGCCCTGCACAGCTTGGGAAAGCCAGGAGGTCTTGAATATACCCTAAAATGCTTGTGCCTTTGCCCCAGCCAGGTAACACAATTTCAGAACATGATATACCATGTAAATACGTGCTTATTTTGCAGTAATTCCCTGCGCAAATTACCCACGGTGTTTGTTTGTTTGTGTTCTGCCCTGCAGTCACATCCTTAGCACCAAATCGGCCTGTTGGCCACACTGCCTGACCCCGAGGGTGCCCAAGCAGTGCGAATTCAGCTGCTGGATCATGTAAGCTCCAGCCCAGCTGGGTGACAGCTTCTCAGGGAAGTTGCCCCGCTATTACAGCACTGTGCTGGTTTTCCAAAACGAAGAGACTTTCCAGCACAAGGTCTTGCAGACCTGATCCCTGCTTAGCTCTGAACAGTGTATTAGGCCTTTCTCAAAGTGCCCTGTTAAAAGTAGCTTCTCCCTGAGCAGATGAGCTGGTCAAGCAGCATCTTCCTGAATTTAGCTGTGCAGAAACCCCCAAAGCACGACCAGTGCACTTCATGCAGGGAGATGTCAGTAAAACAAGTGGGCTGTGGGTTGTGTGAGCAGTTGTTGAGCATTACGGAGGCATGAGTAAGCTGTCTGCCTGGGCCGTGTGATGGGAAGAGGGCTGTGGCCCTGCACTTACTGGACGAATTTGAACTTTTTGACACAGACAGCTTTCTAGCAGCTTCTCTGGGCCTACGGGTTGTTTCTGCTGATGGTGGGTTTCTGGGGCTCCTCGTTAGCGCCTGTCAAACAGTCTGTACTTTGGTACAGTTGGGGTAGGGTGGCCTCTGTTGCATGGAAGATGTTATGGGAGCAGTGCCCCAGGTTGTAGGCGTGCTGTCTGATTAACCTGGTTATAGAACAGGTTATAATACCCAGCAGCATCTCTCTAGATGTGGCACAGGATGGCACTCAGCATCGTGGAAGCTGCACGGTGCAAACAGGCCGTGCCTCGTGCAGAAGCCAGCAGGGCCTTTCCAGATGTGCCGGTTGGCTTCAGCTAAGATGTTTCATCTGGCATGCAGCATGGACTGCACCTGGCCTGTACTTGAGAGTTATTTTCAGAGGATGAGGGGCTGCAATTTGACATCGCGGTAAGGTGTTCCAGCCTCTGGGGTTGTCATGGGAGCAGGTCCCCGCGGCACCCTGGCAGAGAAATAACCCTCTTGCTATGAAGTAAAAGTTTCTTGATATTGGAGCTCTAATTGTTTTCTGTGCCCAAATTTGCCTCTAATGTATCTGTACAGTCATATTGCTCGTCAAAATTTGAGACCGATGTTTACAAGGCACCTGAATTATACCAAAGGTATCCCAGATGCTACGAAGGCACCACTGTGAAGCACTATGATTATGAAACATCTCAAACCTATGGATTTTGTGGTTTAGATGCATTTTTGCCACCCAGAAATGAAACCCGAAGTGTTCTGTCACTGCCGTGTCCCTACTGAGGGCTGTAGCCGTGGAGTTATTTACTCCGCTGCACTCCTGGCTGCAGCTTTTGGTAGAGCTTCACCACGCTGACTTCTCACACTGGTATCTGTCCGAATGCTTCCCTCCTTTATGGCAAGAAAGCTCATCGGTACGAAATGAGCTGGTGTTGCTGCTCAGAACTACCTGCATAACAATTCAGACATTTGGGTGCGATGCAGTCACCCCGGAGAACTGTGTGGTCTCTGCAGTGGAAAGCCTTGCTGGAAGCTTCTGCAAAACAGAGATCCTTCAGTGGTGTAAATCACTTTATTTCTTCTGAATTCAGTCTAGATTTAATCAATTGAGAATCTGACTTGAGATGCACAACTCATATGCCTCCCTCAGTGAACAAAATATTACGTAAATAAATTATAGCAATATATTCCCGCGGGATTATTCTGCATCCAATTCTAGGATTATTACCAAGTAGTAATAATTAGTGCAATGCTACCGTCATACAATTTGTTTTGTTCTTACTTTTTTTACACAAATAAACTCAGCCTTGGTTCTAGAGAGCTTGCCACAGGCGGCTTTGCTTCTGCAAGCAGCAGTGCACGCCGCCGGGCTGGAAGCGTGTAAATGGCCCTGCTGACCCGGGAAGGTGATTCAGTAAGACTTCTCACAAGCTCAAGAGTGATTACAGGCAGCGTTGGCTGGATCTGGAAGATACACACTGATAAAAGATGACACTGGAAACTCGAGAGATAGTGCTGACTCGCTCTTTTGTTGGCTTTACAAATTACAGCCTGATGGGGCAGATAGAAGACAGCGATGCTTGGGAGGCCGCCGAATGAGGGACCAAACCAGGCCTTAGTGTGAACACAGGAGCAGAAGGAAACTCTAAACTGTAGCGGGCTGGTAACACCAGCAGAGGAGAAGGGAGCAAACAGGAAGAATCAAGGCAGAGATGTGGCTAAGGCCCAAGTTGGCCATGGCAGCTCTGTGCCCTGCGGCCGCTGCAGGCCTCAGCACCCGGCCGGGCCTGGCCACTGCCCCGTGCTGGTCCCCAGCTGGAGCACTCAGCAGGTTAAACGTGACCCAGCTGAATCCCTGGGGGCACCTGGGGTGGTTTTGAGTGTAAAAGTCCCAGATAAAACTGAAAGGTAGCCAGTGATCAGCTGGAGAGGAAAGAGCACCAAGTCTTGACAGCAGCACCACGTTGTAAACCTCTGGAGATGTCATGCAGATATGTTTTACATGAATATTAAGAAATTCATATGTACTGGAAATATTGTGTAAAAATAAAATGAAGAAATAAAGAAATAAAGAAATAAACATCTGGCCAGAAAGGATATTTCTGAAAGTTTGAGGCAGGTTGGGTATGGTAAGCCCTCAGTCCTGTTTTCAGTGGCAATAAAAAAAGTAAATGTTAAGAATGTTCTTAGTGGATACCTGAACACATTTAGGCAGTTTATTAAAGATATTTAATAAACCACCCTGCAGCATTAGCACGATGCTCTATGGCTGGTGATAGACCCAACTTTGTCTACATCAGGCTCCACAACCAAGAGTCTTGGTATTTCACAGACCTGAAAAGCCAAGGTTTTGGTCCCATTTCCAGCCTAGTGATTCCTGCATCTCAATTTGTATCTGTTGCTAAACGAAGCTCAACACTGGCTTGTTCTTCATAGGGGTGGAGGTGTCTGACCATTGACCATGTGAGCATGAAGCTGTCCCTGATCTCACAAACACTCCTGGTGGGATGCTCAGTGGTAGAGCATCGCCCTCCTCCCCAGGATCTACAGGATCCCTGATCCTGGCTCCGGGCATGTAGCATCATGACTGCCTGCTTGAGGCAGGATGGACAAGGCTCCCTCCCTCGCAGCCTGTGGGGCAGCTCCCGTTGGTTTTCAAGAGGCAGGTTTCCCTCCCTTGACCCCAGTTTTCACACCGACGTTTTCAAGAATCCCGAGTTGTTCCTTTGCCAGTGAAACACTAACAATAAGAACCTTTCAAGGTTAGCACCACAATTTGTGAAAATGAGCAAAGTATCGGGAAGGCTTCACTCCGCTGTCTAAATTAATAAGACCTGGTATCAGCAGGTCACATCTTGCTCTCAGCGAATCAGTAGTTATTTTGCCATTGACTTTGCGAGAAGAGGGATTGGGTCTGTGCTCGCTATTTAAAATAAACACCACTATATATTAAATTAGACTTCCACTGCTGCAGAATGTTACAGGAGAGTAAAACCGGTACTGTTAAATTACAGATAAAGGGGGAGAGTCCAAAATTTCCAAAATGTTCTCTTTTTCTTTTTTAACGACTGTCATTATATTTTGATGTGTTTAATAATACAGCAGAGGTTAAATGAAACATGAAAAAGGGATGTACATTAAAATTGAGATAACTCTTCCTTCAGTGAAGTGGAACCCAGCAGATGTAGCTGCACACTGTAATTGCTGCCTGTTTCCTGTCAGTCTGATTAAGTTGCATTGTCCCTGCTCCAAGTGTAAGAATCAGTGGCTTCCCATAGGGCACAGCATGGGACAACTGGCTTATGCAGTCAAATGACTATGTGCACCTCCTGCCTGTCCTGTTAATAGTATAGACAGACAATATACATTGATGACTTATAAAATCAATAGGCTGTGTAGTGGGATGGAGACAGTGTCTTCCATCTTACCAGCACTTCAGTCAAGGGCCAAGGTTTTCTGGAAAAGTTAAATTCCTCAGCTCAAGAGGCCAAATAACTGCAGCGCCTGGCTTTGTTATATTAATTTTGTTTCTTAAGAGTTATTATGCGCCTTCTAATAATATTCTTTGACTCTTTTCAAAATATAGCACTGCTCATTGTGTTCACAGTTATTCATGTTTTCCTTTCTGTAATAAATCCCTACTTACAGGATTAAACTGCTAATGGTAAAATCCAGTACCTATCTGGGGAACGCGAGGCCAGATTCCCAGCTGCTATAAATTGCAGTAGATCCACTGAAGCCAGTGGGGTTACTCTGATTTACAACAGCTGTTGGACTTGCCTGAGAAGTCCATGAAGTGAGATTTTGTTTTTATTCCATTCAAAAAGAATGCGATGTGCCTCATTCAGCAGAGCATTGCCCTACTTTTGTCCCGGAGTAATTCTGCTGCGTGCCGCCGCATTACATCGCTGCAAAGCTCCAGCGGCGTGGAGGTGAGTCGGGGCTGTTACTTATCCTTATTTACTGCCTCTTGTAAGAGGCCTGCCATTACTTACTGCTAAATTGGAGATGCAGTGGCACATTTGGATGTTTGCGTTTAATTGCAGGAGCAGAGCGGTGTTTCAGCATGGAGAGATAAACTCAGGTTCTGCCCACAGGCATCCCAACAATATGGCACGAGAGGCAGCAGCCATCCTTCCATCCATCCATCCATCCATCCATCCATCCATCCATCCATCCATCCATCCATCCATCCATCCATCCACCCACCCACCCGAGGGTGCTCCCACCGAGGGAGGCAGGCATGAGGAACACCTCACTGCTGGAGAATTTGGGTGGTGGGGCCACGTGCGCGCTCCCACACTGAGTCACCACGCGAGAGCAGTTGCTTCCACTGTGAGCAGCGGCCGAGTGGGAGGGCTGGGGATTATGATTCTGGATTTAGGCATCTGTCCCATTTAAAGTCCCGTTTTGGCTCTTTAATCCCCGTTTGGATCTGGGACCTTGCTTTCTAAAAATGGAAATTAATATTAGAAGTCGTTCCTTAACACATGTTTATTTTCCAATTTATCGAATGTACCTATTACACTCTCCAGACACATGTGCTTGATTATAATGATTATCATATGTATTTCTAAGGCACTCATCACCATAATATCAAATGTCATTATAGAAATTATGAAAGAGCATCAGCATTTCTTCCTTGGAAGAAGCCAGTTTCCTCTTTTCCCACCGCATTAGTGAAATCACAGAAATGAAGCTGACTTTATGCCACTTTTGTTTCAGCCCAAGACAAAACAACCGACTCCCCAGTGCAATGTGCAATGTGCACCTGAAGCCAAGCACAGCTCGGTGAGAAGGCCTGCGGCCCTGCAGGGGGGTGAGCTCCGAGGCTGAGGCTCTGCACAGACCCCGGTGAGGCTCTGGGGCACGGGGGGCTGCAGGATCCCCACGGGAAGGCACAAGGAAAAGGAAGCCCTGCGCTCGGCTGCGAGCCTGCCGGCCTCACCACACCCCAGCTGCTGCTCCCCAGGCATTTCTTTGTCGAAGAGATTTCTCAATGAAAAGTATCACGAATTTCTGGAGCAAAAAAAACAACTGTCTAGACCAAGGGCGGTAACCGCTCAAGATGGGGTTGCGTGTGCTCATCGCTGGCTGCTCCAAAGCCACCTGCATATTTGGCACAGGTCAGGACGAAAGGAGACGCCAGCACAGGTTCTTGATGCTGTACGTGTTTTCCTAGGGGTGGAAGATACAGATCTGGATTTTTGCAGGAGAAACGACGCTTTCACCACATTATTTCTTTATTTTATTTAAGAAATGGCAGAAGGAGGAAAGAGCTGTAAACAAGGATGGAAACCTCCCTGCTTGGGAGAGGCGTCTGGAGGATGCACAGAGCACTTCGTGCCTGTGCGTGCGTGGCCAGGGGCAGGGATATGGGGGCTGCTCCAGAACAGGGGTCTGCACTAAGCAGAAGAGCTCATTGCAATCCAGACATACGTGTCGTGTCACGGTGGCATGGAGGCGAAGCAGCAGGGAGGCTGCATTTGGATTGCTGACTTAGACTAATGCTTGCTTTTTTTTTTTTTTTTTTTTTTTTTTTTTCCTTTGTGCCATTTATGTGATTATTTTTGTGCTTCATATGCTCAAAAATCCCTGGGAAAAATAATCTTTTTTTTTTTTTTTTTTTTTTTCATTTTTGCTTTGCAAGTCACTTTGTAAAGAACTGCTTTGGTGTCTTTAGAGAGCTTTAAACCCACCTGCTTCCTCTGTAAAGCACAGATGAGGAAACAGGAGCGAGCGGCCAGCCCGGCACAGACCTCGGATTCAGGAACCTTGAGTGAAACTGAATATATTGGTCCCACATCTGGGAAGTTTTTAAGGCGGATTTTCACTCTCAAAGCAAAAGATTTATTTCCCTGTAGCAGGACAGAAGGAACGCAGGGGAGGAGAGCTCCTCTCGCTCCAGCAGTTGCTGCCACCCTGCTGTGGGCACCGCTCGCCACGGTGCTCAGCCTCTGTGTGGACCCAAATCGTGCCCACAGAGCTGGGGGAAGGAGGTGCTTTGAAAAAGAAGGGACCAAAACCAGGAGGCAAATGAGCTGGTGGAGCTGCACATCGCCACCCGCTTCCTCCTATCTCAACGTGCTGATGTGGGCACTTGAACGCTTCTAAGGTCACTTGGATAATCTAATAGTGCTCAGGATGATATCTGGCGCAGGCAGGAACTCTTCGAAGGGTTTAAACAACATCTATCTTCATTATTTTACACCCTCATGTCTGTATGATTGATTCACACTAAATTTTGTTTAATTGCTCAGAAGGTCTCAAGGACTGACATTTTGAGAGAGCCAAATGGGATGTCTGAGCTCCCCCTGCTGCTCTGCCGCACGCAGCCCGCTCCGCCGGTGGCCTCGCCGTGCCGCCGGGCACCGCAGCCCGGCCACAGCTCCCTGCAAACCCAGGGAGAGAATTGAAGGGCTATTCGCAAGGAGAAGAGCCAGGGTGGGTTTAGCAAGTGCTGTCTAATGGAGTGGCACAAAGCCGGAGAGCTGCGTCTTGGTAGGGGAGATGTGCTGAAGCGCCAAGGTTTTGGCGCAACCTCTCCATCCAAGCGTGGCGGTGAAGGGCTGAGTCCTGCAGCGGGCACTTCCCACGGTGCTGAGCTCCTGGGGTGCAGCTGGAGCAGGGGAAGGCCTCTCTGCTCCCAGAGCCCGAATAATGCAATGGGGAGGGGTCCCTTGGTGCTCCCCACCGAGAGCTCCCATGGCAGCACTGCCTGTGCTTCTCCCTCCGGCGCATTTGGGGTGCCAGAGCGATAAACCCGTGGGTGTTTGGGGTGATGCATCCCTCGGCCTTCAGCCACGTTCCTCATGGTGCGTGCTGGCAGCAGCACAACGCTCACCGAGGTGCTGCGTCCAGGTGCTGAAGGCATGACAGCAGCCTAAATGATGCTATTGTTCCTGCCGAGGCCCCAGGGAGGCGTCGAGCCCCTCGCTTTGTTCTTTTAGGAACCAAACCCCTAAAAAAGCTCCTTTTTCCTGAGCACAGCAGCCGTGCCGTGGGCAGCAGAGGAACAAACACTCCTTCGTGCCGCGGAGGTGGGCCTCGGCCCTCATCGGGCCTCGCTCGAGCACGTATGTCCCAGTTCAAAGGGGGAGCGAGTGATATTCCCAGAGCAGAACCTCAGCTTTCCAGCTCTTCATCCTCCGCACAAAAGCATGTTTGTTTTTATTTTAATCCTGTGCATGCTCGAAAATGATAGTTGCTGTTATTATTTTGAACTAGTGTTATGGTTTTCTGAACAGATGTGGTTGAGCTATCTGGCAAGTGTTCCATGGGTTTTATTTTTGTTCTGTTTCAGAGTTTAACTTTAGTTAAAACATCTGGATGTTTTAACTGTGGATGGGCGCTGCTTATAAAGCATGAAATACTAGCAAGAAAAATATTAAAATCATTTAAACTATTTTTAAAATTTAAATAAGTTCTACAAGGTCTCTTTTGAAACGCGAGTTCCATTAACCTAATACTGGATGTGGCCTCGAGAAATTCACACGTGTTCGATTTGACAGGTAGTTTATTTTTCTTTTTATTGTTTACTCGGGCCCTGGTCCAGGAAAAGGTATATGAGCACTTGACTTACCTCAAGCGCTGAAAGGTTTCATTAATTTTTAGGGAATAAGCCTGATGTTTGGAAGACGCACATCCTTGAGGAGTTTGGGGAAATGAGAGCTCTTCGTGCTGAGCAGTCTCGGCACAGCCTGCACAGTTGGAGGTCCTCTGCTCTGTGCTCTTCATACCCAAAGTACCCACACCCAATTCTGCGCAGAAATACAAATCCTGGCTCTGGAGCATGCCGGGGTGAGCTCCACCCATGCTCCCACATCTGAATTCACCTCTGTTTGAGGCCGTTTGGAGATTCCCCCGTACGTAGAAGCTGTGAACGTTGTGCCAATGAGCAAACACCCGCACGTTCACCATCGCACAGCAAGCAGGGTGCTGGGCACCTAGCTCTACGCTAGAGGTCATAGGGATAGGGATAGTATAGACGTATATATGTGTGTCTATATACATTTGTGATGTATAGATGTTGGATCCTTGGCACCATTTGCTTTGATCTATGGGTCTTCCACTGCATTACGTTCCTGTTATCACACACTGCTTAGCTGTGGTCTCTTAATGCAAGGGCCGAGCCGTGGCACTGCTATTCAGCCGTGACTCCATGTCCCTTCGGCAGGTCCCTCACCACAGGGACCAGCACGGCACCACAGAAGTGGGACTGAAGACTATTTCTGTGACAACAATTCCTTAAGAAAGAAAACCCATCTCCATTATTTCCCTTTGTCAGGACCCGGACCAGGTATCCCTGATGAGATTCATCAAACTGGGGCAGTTCCTTAGGGCACGAAGCACCGTGAGGAGCCACGTCCATGAGACGACGACCAGCGAACTCCTGCATCATTCTGAAATCACCACGGAGGAGTTACTCGGTCTGTGCAATCCTCAACCTCGTTTCCTCGCTGTAGATAGCCTGGTGAGTTCTGCACCTCTGGCAGCGAGGTGCTTGGGCCTGCGGAGCACTAGCCCTAGTTTTCGGAGGTGTAAGTAGGGCAGGCAACGGGGCCTGGCCTGGCACTGCTGACAGGCCCAGAGGACATGGAAATGATTGGAAATGTTGCGCTACCTCAAGGAGACAGAGAGGAGTCTGGGAGGGGGTTGCAACGGCAGGCAAAAATCTTTTTTTTTTTGCCTTTTGCTCCAGGGTCTGGAACGGCGCTCAGTTACCCGGGATGGAGGCGAGGGGAGAGGGAAGCGTAAGGTGGAAATCAGTCTGTGTCTGTGCCAAGGGGGGCATCGATAGGCAGAGAGACACAGCACAGAGCCCAATTGCAAGGCAAATACGCTACAGGCTCTCGACATTAACTAGTCATTATTTACACACTCAAATATCTATGATCCGGTGCATGGCCACAAAAGCTGTGGAAAATATCTCCATTTTCAAACAGAGTTTTAATTATTTGTAAAGACTTCAATTGTTCAACAGATAATGTCATGGATTGGTCCTCACAGTGTGAAGTGCAACCGTCCAGAACCCCCACAGTATTATAAATAGGCTTCGAAGCTGGGATTGATTGATGTTTGGCATAAAATCTATTCCTCTGAGCATGTATATTCCTTCTGTTCACCAGTTTCATACAAATATACTTGGGCTGATTTTTTATTCAAATCTCCAATTTATGTAGGGTTTAAACTGTTAAATATTTAAAGCCTTTTTCATCTTTTTTTTTTTTTCCTTTCTCTTTTCTGTTAGAGGTAACTAAATCTTTTGCCTAACACAAACAAGACTCGGAGATTTAGCACATTCCTGTGGGGGAGAGAAAGGGTTTATTAATTATATTGAGACTCAAATAATATGCTTCCTTGACACTAATGTTCCATCAGTTCCAACCGCAAGTATCCTATGGGATAGCTTTAAAGCCTTTATCAGGATCTAGATTACTGCATTTATGGCTCCATAGAAGAAAGAATTTAATGAACGGCATTCTGAGTTTGAAAAGAGAATCTGAGATAGAGCGATATCGGGGTATAAAAACAGTAACAATGAGGAGTTATGCCAGCGGAGTCTCTGGGACTCCGTAATGAAACATCAAATAAAAGTAAGTATAATGTACCTTTTCAAGAATCTACATAAATATCCAAGACTTCTCAGATGGAGAATTCGTCCTTGTTGCACCTTGTCTGCATCTGACAGCAGGGATCTCAGTGGAGTTGCGTCTTTTGGAGAATCTCTCTTCCGAAGTCTTATTTAAGTTTTCACTTATCAAATCAATACTCCCAAATAATTTTATTTCCGAATTTTTATGACACCATGACTTTTGTTTCATCCTCCCTTTCCTTCCCATCCTGATATTTACATACCATCACCCCTGTGGTTATTATTCATTCATTTATGCATGCCTTTGTGTTGCTGCAGCACCTAAGAATCATAGTCATGAGGCAAGACCCCATTATGTCTTATTTATTCTTTATTATTGCCGGTGTTACAGTAAAACCTGGAGATGCTGCTGAAGCAATGGACGAATTGTTTAAGTGGTTTATCTGAACGTAAAGAAGCCTAATAGCCTTAACTCATTAATAGGAATTGCAAAATTAAAATAAAGTAACTTGGTGTTTCTGTCACAAAGGCGGGTACAAAGGCTGTGCTTAGATCTCCCGAGCTGCTGGCCATTTCATACTTTTATTTAGAGCATATTCTTCATTTCTTCTATTAATATCTCATGCTCTGAAGTTCCAGAGCTGAAGCAGACTTGAGGAAATTGCCAGCATATTGGCGTTGCGCTCTGGGGAGGCTGTCACAGCGACGATACCAGTGACTGTACTGCCTAATTCAGGGTGTTGCTTGCAATCTTTCACACCTTATTTGCTTTGGGACCTAATTTTCCAGAGAAATGTTCTGTCTCAATGCAGTGACATTTGGAAGCTGCTATACCTGAAGATATTTGGTGAAAATCCAAGCAATGTACGTGATCCTATGATCTCGGGGTATGCGGTGTTGGTACGTCCTGCGGAGTCGGGATGCCCAGTGACCTGTGAAATGACTTCTTTATTCACAGGTTGTGGTCAGGGTGGGTTGCATGGGACTGGGGCACCACCAGAAGTGAAAAAGAGCAAAGCATCACGGCCACCCTCTCCTGTGCAAAGCCCCTGGTACGCTGCAGACGCTCAAATCATCGGAGAAGCAGAACGGGTGAAAAGCATGCAAAGCATGAGAATAATAATAATATCAGAAATTTAAAAACAAACAGTATTAGGGCTTACAAGCAATCAAGCTTTTAAAATTGCCTGGCTTAAAGCCCATTAAACAAAGCAAAACTCCTCTCCAAATCAGTAAATATAAGTTGTTTACAGCAAACAGAATATCATTGGAAATTCTAATTTCGGGAGTTTTCGCAGATAAAATATACACAGCTTATCAGTTATTCAAGGATCAACATTATCCTAAATTGATTCTGGGGTGGCTGTTAGACACGTTTGTGCTAAATGGATTAGCCCTAAAGAAAAGGTGGAGGAATGCTAGGGAGGAACTGAGGCTGCAGGTTTTAAAATGCTTGCCTCAAAGCAGCTTTCAGAGCTCCTGCATTGGCATTCAGGCTATCTGGATTTCAAAAGTGATGAGAATTGAAGGAAATGGAAAAAAGCCCACTGTTGGGGGACACCAGACCATTATCAGGTGTATAGCTCCGGCTCCAAACTACTTACTCGCCATTAATAAATCATTGCATGATATATAATTTTAATCATACAAGTATAGATTTCCCA